TTTTTTAATTTTTTAAATTCATAAAAAATCCAAAACGGAAAAAAAGGCAAGTCGTATTACTTTCACGCAAAGTCACATAACCTTTAAGCAAAATGAGACATAGATCATGAAAATCGATGGACGCGTTTCGCTTTTATTCACAATTAAGTGAAGGTATCTCATTTTGACAAGAATATTGATTTTATGTTTCAATGAATTTGGATAATATTTATTATATATATTATTTATTATTAACACGTAAAATTAAAAATTATTAGAAGTAATTATTAGGTTATTACATAGAAAAAGAAGTTTCTCTGTCAGGACTTGGAAGCGGTGGAATTGGTATTTCATCCGAATGCGGTAGAGGTATTTGTGCACTTTTAACAGATATGTAAACTCTTCGTTTAAGGCCTTTACGATTTACTCCACATATTTTGTTTGCGCAAGCGTAATAGTTGTAGGAATTGTGTTCTCCTGGATCAGTCCAAATCATTGGTACACCAAAACGAAGTGAACTGCGTTTCCCTTGGATCCACATGTTAAGACCATTGTAGCACGTTTTACAAATTTTGTCTGGGGCCCACGAAACGCCGCGAATTATTTCGGAATCAAAATAAAGTTTAAAAGCGCGCTCCACTTGCTCAGTGAGTAATGCAGTATTTGTTGAAAAAGCTCTAACAAAATAAATTGATATTTTCTGGACAATTTGCACTCATTTCGGTTTTATACTTTTATTACTTTTTCGTCACTTAAAAAAAATCGTACTTTACGCGTTCGGAGACACTTGTTGAATGACAAAAATCGATCAATGAACACCTATAAATACTACGTAAGTTTCAATATTTTACTGAGAGGTACTTATGAATTGGCGCATCTTTTAAGGGTGGCTATATAGCTGATTCGTGTGCGTTTTAAATTTTTTGAAACGTTCTAAAACATGACCACTCTTAAATTTGGGTGCAATTTGTGTAAAAAAATCATGCAGGTAGCCAACAGAAAAAACCCAAATAATTAAAAAAGTGCACTTTCCTTTTTTCCTTTTAATTGTCCACGCACATTTATGACCGTTTTTTAGTTTGTTACCGCTACCATAAAAATCAAATAACCTTTTGTTTATTACTTTTTTTTTTAATTTTGACTATCATAAAAAAAGTCATCAATGTTTTTTCCAAGGAATTTTGAGCATATCTCGAGCAAATTTTTGAAAATCATACCTTTACTTAAGTTTGAATAAAAGCGAAAGGCATACATTGATTTTCATGACGTATGTCTCATTTTGTTCATAGGTTATGTGACTTTACGTGACACTTTTTTCCGTTTTGGATTTTTTATGAATTTAAAAAAAAAAATAAATTTTTAGGCAAAAATAATTTTTTTTTTTCTTTATACATTTATTTTTACCGGCAAAACTGTTGAGTATATAGAAATACGTTATATTAACGGATTAAAGGAATTGTAATTTTTAATTTTTTTAAATTTGTTTGAGCAAAATCGGACTAGAGGTTCTCGAGTTATGTCAAAAAAAAGACCACCAAAGGTGACAATTTCCCCTATATGATAGTTACTAACTTCAAATCGATATATCTCGATTCCTAGACGTGACCCAGCGAAACGCCGGACCACGTATAACTTGTTTTTGACCGATATAACATTTCCCGTTGGTTTCATCCCATCCCGATTTTGACTGTCGCATAGTGTAATTATAACTAAATATGTTAAAGCCTCTAATATTCATCTAGGTTGTACCAAATCGTTAATTTAGTTGAAGGGTTTGGTAAATACTAATAAATATTTTTTTGAAGCATA